TAGGGTGGAGTTTCCTTAGCTTCAGTTCAAACCTAAGCGGTGTTGTATCACTGTAAACTGTGATTTAAGTATTGTGATCTCGCAGTTGCCTCAACAAGATAGAATAGCAGAATTGGAGAATTGGAGGGGGCCAATAAGGTCATGAGGTCCAACCACCTGCTTAATTCAGGACTTCAAGTTGAAGCATCTTGAATCCCTCCAGTGTGGGAGAGTTCATGACCTCCCTGAGTAATTGGTTTCATTGTTACACTGCTCTAACAGTCAGGAAGTTTTTCCTGATGTTCAGCTGGAATCTGGCTTCCTCTAACCTCCTCTTCCCATTGTTCCATGTTCTGGGATGATTGAGAAGAGCCCCTGGTCCTCCTTTGTGTTACAGCTTTTCAAGTATTTGAAGAGCGCTGTCATAATTTGTTTCAGTCTTCTCTACTCAGAAAGAAACATATCTGGTTCTTCCAGCCTGAGGGCTTTGTTTCCAGTCCCTGATCATCCTTATTGCCTCCTTGAACCTTTTCCAGTTCTGAATCTTTCTTATACTGTAGTGCCTAGAACTGGACACAGTACTTAAGATGATACCTAACAGGTGCTGAGTGGAGGGGAAGTAGTACTTCATATATTTTGGAAGTGATATTTCTATTAATGCAGCCCAAAATAGTATTTGCATTTTTGCAGCCATATCAAATTGTTGACTCATATTCAGCTTGTAATGTGCAAAAGTTCCAAGATCCTTCTTGTTTGCAGTATTCTTGAGCAAAGTATTCCCAACTTGTAACTATGCATTTGGTTTCTTTTTCCTAGGTGCAGAACATTTAGCTATCCCTCTCAGTTTTGTGCCATCTGCAGATCTGATAAGGCTTCTGCACCTCTTCATCCAAATCATTAATAAAATATTGCATGGTACTGGAACCAAGACTAAACCCTGCAGCATTCCATTTGCTATCTCTCCCCAATTTGAGAAGGTGTCACTGATAAACACTCTTTGAATCCAATTCTGTAGCCATCCAATCCAGCTAAGGTTTGTTCCATTTAGCCCACTTTTAGGTAGTTGGTCCTTTGTCAAAGCTTTGTTGAAGTCAAGTTATATTATGTTCACAGCATTGCCACAGTCTACTAGAGAAGTTACTAGATGAAAATAATGATATCAGATTATTTGACAGGAGTTGTTTCTGAGAAATTCTTGTTGACTTCTAACAATCACTGGATTGCTTTCAAGGTGTTTGCAAACTATAATCTGCTCCAGGATTTTCCCAGGGGTGGATGTCAGACTGACTGATCTGCAGTTCCTAGGATCCTCCTAGGAACAGAATGCTCCTCCAGTCATCTGGCACATCACCCTTCCTCCATGATTTCTCAAAGAGTAAACAGCTCTGAGAGTTCTTCTGCCAGTTCTTTATTACTCTAGGAATTAAGCACTTCTTCCTTTTCTTTGCCTTCTGTTAAAATTTTGCCACCCTCATTGAGTAGCTGAACCACCATTTTTTCCTCTGTCTTTTACTATACATCTGTCTTTTTGCTGCTTTTGCCAATATATGATTGCTGATATAATACCAGATCCTTGGGGCTATTCTGATGGAGTGCATTTACAAAAGAATCTTTCATAAAGCTTAAACTCTACCCTTAAAAATGTACCAAGATATCAAAGCTGAGACAGCTGAAGTTAGCCAAGGGTGTACCCGTCCACATATGATCCTGGAACTATGTAAGTGGTGTGAGTTATCTTTCCCAAAATGCATTTACCTCTTTCTAATTTGAAAGTCAGTAATTTTGAAAGACATATTATCAAGATGTTCAAGATCTGAATATACATTCAGGGACAGTGGGATGGCTGCATTCGGTTCTATGCTCACTTTCCCCTGTTCCGAAGAATTGTGCCAGAGGTTCCTCACACATGCTGCTTTCTTTGCACAATTGAAATCCCTGCAGATCCTCCAAACATCGCATAGATCAAACCCTGCATAGCTGTATGCTCAGTCTCTATAAAGACGTTTAATGTACACATGGAGGCTGCAAGCACAGCCTGCCTTGTAATCTAGTTCCTCCTTCCACAGTCATTGCCCATTACAAAGTAGAGCTGACAGATGAACTTCGCAATATAATGCAGTCTTCCTCAAACTTGTGCCCTTCAGGTGTTTGGGACCTCTGTCCGACCTGACCATTGACCACACTCATGGGAGTTGATGGAAGCTGCAATACAAGCATTTGGGAAGGCTGGTATAGAACCTAGAGTATACTGGGTGCCTGAAATCTCCTTATGCTCCTTTTTTCACTGCCAATATTATAAATAGTGCTGTTTGGTCACCTGCTCTAGGAAAAACTACTCTCAGATAATCAGATGCTGTCCCAGTGCTGAGATAGAATGTCCTTGGTCTTACTATTTCATTGAAATATACTGAAATCCTTAAAAAACTATGTTTAGTTGTTTCATTTGGATCATAATCTGAAACATACATAAAGAGGCCAAATAAGAAAAAAATGTGGACGGGGACCCAAAGAAAACTGTAGCTGGTTTTATGCATCTAACACAGCTTTGAACTTGTGTTTGTGAAAATGCACCTCTCCTTCTGGCCATTCCCATCATTCCAGGTGGCAAAGAATTTTGAAACATATGAAGACTTTCAAAAGCAGTCATGATTTGTGCAAGAGTGTGAAATTTTAAGGAGGTCTCTTCTGCATAGTGGAGAAAATGGATAAGGAGACATTTTTCTCCCTTACCCATAATACCAGAATCTGGGGTCATCACATAAAGCTGACTGGTGGGATATTCAAGACAGATAAACAGAAGTTATTTCTTCACACAGTGCATAGTCAAACAATGGAATTCATTTTCCCAAGATATAGCGATGGCCATCAACTTGAATGACTTTGAAAGAGGATTGGACAAATTCATGGAGCAGGTTAAGAGTGGCCACCAGTTTGGATGACAAAATGCTCCCCATGAGTATCAAGGCTAGGGACGTGGATGGAAGGCTGCCTTCCTAGTTTGGTCCTACTTGTGGTGGTCCCATTGTCTGCTGGCTGGCCACTGTGTGAACTGCATGGGTGCTAGATGGACTCTTGATCTGATCCAGCATGGCTCTTCTTACGGTGCTAAAAGGTGGAATTTGCTGCTACATAGTGTGGTGGTGGTCTCACCACTGCTGGGTTCAGAAGCAGATTAGACTACTCACTGAGGGCACACCATTAGTGGCTACTAATTCTGAAGGCTATAGGTGACCCCCAGTATTGGAGGCAGTGTGCTTTGCTGCACGAGTTGATGGAGCAGGTAAACACAAGGGTTTTATTGCACCTTTTCCTTACCTGTGGTTTTCCTAGGTGATAACCAGATTTAAGCTCCTAAATACAAATGTGAGTTTTTCATTTTCTACATCTAGAGTGTCAAACCCAAAAGACTTTCCTAGAGTTAACAGGAATATTAGTCCGATGGGTCTAAAGATAAAGACCCAGCTACTTATGGTTTTTCCACAGGCATCTGGCTCACTTCTGTGCGAATGGAATGCTGGACTGGATGTCCCCTTTGTCTCATCCACATGGCCCGCCTTGTGTTTTTACGGTCCATCACTGCTACCATTCATAGCAGAGTCCACCTTTTGATTGCATACCAACCTTATTAGAGTGAAGTATTCTTTTGCATAAAGTAGAAAACACACTGACAAATGTGTTCCTATTTTAATCTGAGCACTAATACTTAAGGATGTGTAATTAGAATTCCTATTAACAAGATTTGATTAAGTTCTTGCATAGAAATGTAAATGCGCTATTTTCTAGATCTAGTCTGTAAAATCCCAGAAGAATTTTGTAAACAAGAGTATTAGCCCAGATCTGCCTAAAGGTAAAGGCACAGCTCCTCCTGCTGTTCAGATTGTGACTTGAGTTAATGTCTATTTTAAGTTATAACTTGTTTCTATTTTACCTTAATGAATTCCGTTATCTTCTAGAGTAAGATTGCTTTTTCCCTTTTAACTTTTCTGCTATTTCCCCATATTATAGATGGGGTTATACAAAATATGTAGGGTACATTTTAGGCTACAGGACAATTTGGACTACTGCTACAGAGAATACTGCTGTGGATTAGGTACCTGGTACTTTTTGAGATACCTATTAACCAGTTATTTTCCAGAGTCAACTTGATAGCATCTTCCATACCTCTTAGAACTGAAGCTTTATAGATAAAATACGAGCTGCAAAAAGTACTATCAGCTATTAGATTGTTTTAATTATGGAATATATATTTTAACAGAGCAGCATTCAGAAGGCCATAGGATTTTTTCAGAGGCCCAGTTCAGCTCTGGAAAAGAGCTCCTGGAGTTGGAACTCTTTGTTCAGAACCTGCTCCTGTTCCTTTCATGCAGCATGGACAAAACTGCACTGGCTGCATCTCTGAGGCTGTAAAAGGAATTTAGGGGGCATTCCAGGGAGTGAGGAGAGGAGGAGATTGGCACCACCAAGTAATGACTAGCACAGCAGGCGATCCTGGGGGCACCTCAGCCTCCTCCCCTCCTGCTCCAAAGCATTGTAGCTAAACATCTGACATGCCACAGGTTTGCACTGTATATTTATTACTTAAACTTTGCCCTGAGTGCCTCTTTTAGGCAGGGTATAAATCAGGGTATAAAGGCAGGGTATAAATCAAGTAAGTTACCAAAAAGTGATAACATTATGATACGTTTCAGATGGTTTTCTAATACTAACGTGCAACCATAGGAAAAAAGCAAAGCACCAGTTATCCTGGCATGCTTTTGGACATGGGATGTGACGTTGGCATTGTCGTGATCTTGTGACAGTGCTGCAGGCTGAGATGCTAGTAAGATTATGAAATCTTTCATTATTTGCTTCTTTTCCCAAAACTGCTAATATTAGCAGAGGGCTGTCTATCCACCATATTTACCACCCAACAACATATGAAAGAGAAATGTTAATATAAAACACCACTTGGAACACTATTATAATGTATCTTATATCATCTGTATCACATGTATTAGTGGCAGATCTTTGCTTTTAAACAGGTCCTCAGCAAGGTTGTGGTGGCTACCTGGTGAATCCAAGTGGAAGCTTTGGCTCTCCGGACTCCAACAAGGATGGCAAATATGACAAAGATCTAGACTGTGTGTGGACTATAGCTGCACCCATTAACAAGCTGATCAACCTCACTTTCAACAGTTTTGTGCTGGAAGCAATGTCTAGGCAAACCTGCCGATTTGATTATGTCAAGGTAAGACCATCTGTGTGCATTCGTCAAGAAATGCAACATGCATTTTTGGTGTGTTTTGACCTTAGATGGTAAAATACTTTTGTGCATGGTTCCCTTCTTATCCTAAAGGTAAAGGGAAAATAATGGCTTTATTTGATCTTAAAAGGACTGGTTTTGAAGGATCAAAAAGAAAAAGAAAAACTTGATCCAAGTTCAGATGTTTGCCTTGATGGAAAATGACTTCCTTTGTGATATGAAATGGTCTCACTTTGGATGTAGGTTTGCACACTCCATCCTTGTGCTGCTCCTTCCTTCCTTCTTGGCATGCTGCAATTAAAAACATCTTGAATTAATAAGCTATCATTTTCCATAATGCACAAACCATAATGTAATGATTACAAACAAGTTGATTAGAACAAACTAGGATCTCCAACCAACTTCAAATTATGGTTTGTTCCAAGCCTGGCAATCATGATTCCCTGGTTCAAATGCAATGGGAAACTATGATTAATTGACCCAAGAATTTATCAACTGTGGCACAGCAAAAAGAAAAGAGAACAAGGGTGATGCAAAGGCACAGTATGTGGGGATGTACAGTCACATTTGAACAGGACCAATTCTTTTAATTCTAAAGCCTGAATTTTGGCCAGCTTTGAACAACTGAAATAAACCCACCAGCTCTTCCCCTAGTATCTAATTGTATTACACTCGTAACCTTATGTACTGAGGTTATCAATCTCTCTCTCTCTTTCCCTCTCCCTCTCTGCCTTATAGCTTTATGATGGTATGAATGAAAATGCCCCTCTAGCTGGCACATTCTGTGGCTCCACTATTCCAGCTAATTTTATTTCTAGTGACAACTACCTGACCATTAAGTTTGTTACTGACATGACTGTAGAAAGAGATGGCTTCATTGCTACCTACACTATTGTGGACAGTAAGTATAATTGTCATTTTCTTACCAAAAGATTGTATGAAATAAGTTATTGATCCATTATCTTACACAACTGCAGGGGAGGATTCAAAACTAATCTTGTTTTGAGGTTGGTTGGTTTGTGAAATGTGTTTTTGGTTTTATTTTGTTTTGTTTTTTGAGTTTGTGTGTGTTTGTTTTTGCAGTTTTGGGACTAAGGGCTATCAGTTAAGAAGCCTGGGGGGAAATGAACATTTTTTCCTATATAAAGATTTACCTCCCTACCTAATTAGATTTCAGCTCCCCAGACAAGCTCCAGGTGGAGGAAAGAGATAGTGAATATAAACTGTGCCTGCAAGGAGCAGTGTGGAGGTCACAGGCACACTTTGGTGTGTTTACAGAGGAAAATCAGGTGCTTCTCGGCTTCTGCATGAGATGCATAATCCAGATCTCTTTCAATGAGGCTTCGGCCATGGCTGTGTGACAGAGCCTGTATGGATGGGGTGTGCTGTGCACTGGACAGGGGAGTGTGTTCCCTTGGGTTCTGCCGGACCTTTCAGTGGCTTTTGAAGATGGAACTAGGAGGCACTGTTATATGCTCCAGTTCTCTTTGCAGGAGATTTGTGTTCAACACTGGAGCCTCTGTTGTCCCTTGGGGTAGCATCCTATCTCCCATGCTGGGAGAGAGTGTCCGGAGTTTGGGGGTTCGAGGCCATCAGTATGTTTATTTACCAACTGTTCATCTCCTTTCCATCTAAATCCAAGGTTCTAAGTTCTAATTTCACAGATGAACTCAGTGAGAACAAATAAACTGAAGCTTAATTCAGACAAGACAAAGAGGCATTAATCAGTCACAGTTAAACCTGTGCTGGATGGGATTGCACTAACCCTGAAAATTCAATCACCCAGGTTGGCTGTACTCTTGGACCTGGTCCTGGACCTGGACATCCAAGCCCTTCTGGTGGCCAAGGCTACATGTGCATAGCTGAAGCTAGTGCATCTGCCTTACATGTCCATACAGATGTTGACTTACGCAGTCCTTACATATCCTGCTTGGACTCCTTAATGTATTCTCTGTAGGGCTATGTTTGAATACTGTTCAGAAGGGAATGTTGCAGCCAGAACCAGTTCCAAGAAGCATGTGAAGCTTCTTAGAGCAGCTTCATTGCCTTTTGGTCTGCTCCTAAGCAGAATGCAGAGTGCCGGTTGCCACCTTGAAAGTCCTGCCATGTCCTGTGACCACCAGAACCCTCGAAAGAATGGCGTCTTCTGTATGAGCTTTCCTGGTTCTTAAGAGCTTTTGGAGAGGTCCTTCTTTGAAAACTTCTGCCTTCAGAAGCTCATTTCTTGGTGACCTGAAAGAGAGGGCCTTTCACCCAATGTTCCCAGGCTCAGCTCTCTCCCTCTGCTGCCTTTACACCATCTGGCAAAGACTGCTTTATTTAAGAAGCCCTTTAGACTATAAACCTTACTCTGGCCCACCCCCTTTCTCCAGACCACCAATCATGTGGTGCTCCTGGCTTTCATGTAGTCTCCCCTCCCTTCCACATTTTAAATCCCCCCCCCCCCCCCGCAGTGTCGTTCTCAGCAGTTAGAGCTTTAAATTAAAATGTCCTCATCCTTTTGACATTTTGGCTCAGTCCACAACTGGAATGTGGCCCTGAGAGCTTCTCTGAAATGGAATTCAGCTGTTGAGCTGAATGAGTTTGAACACCCTTGCTTTAGATGCACAGCTTAAATTGAAGCCACCTATAAACCTACACACTGGATTAAGCTGTTGTGTTCTTCTTTCTAACAGGACTATGTGGAGGTATATATAATGCAACATCTACTGCCCAAATTGCAACGTCGCCCTACTTCCCCAGTGCCTATCCTCCATTTACATTCTGCAGATGGGTCATTGATGCTCCTCCTGAGCAACAGGTCAAAGTAGCCATACAGGATTTCCACCTCCATGCCAACCAGGACTGCTCTCAGAATTATCTTGAGTTCCAGGACTCACCACTGGTATGTCAGCCAGTCTTACTCCGAGGAGAAATAGGAATGCTTCTGTGCTATTGTGGTAGCAATTCCCACTCTTGGAGGCCCATGAAGTTCTCCTGCTGGAGATGTCCTCTGTGTCAAACCCTGTTTTCACCTTTTGATACTGAGAGCCAAACTAGATGTGGCATTAATGGCATTACCTTAATTGCAAAGCTTTTTATCCAAATAGCAGCAAAAAGGAAACCTGAGCACCTCAAAACAGAGGGGAAGCTTAATGTGTCCTTTCTTCCCATCCAGAGCTGCAATTTGCATTCCATTTATATTTCTCTGGAAGTGCAAATAGCAGCTTTGAAGAGGCCATTTCTGTCATTACCATGGGCAGGGAGAGAAAGGCTTGGTTCAGATGTAATGAGACACTAGTATGGGTGAGTTTCCTTTCAGGGTTTCTTCTTGTGGTGGCAGCTGTGATTTTGGATATTTGGGGTGCAGTAGGGGGCACACTACCATTTCTCATTATGTGCAAAATGGGTGAGGGGGGTTGCTGGAGTAGGTGACAAGCCACCTGCAACCCTAGCAGCCCATGAGTTTTGGGTGGCTTGTCAACCACCTGTGGCCCCACCTTTTCCAGGGGCGTGTGAAACAAGAAGGTGCAGGGACTTAGATTCTCAATCTGGTGTCTCTAGGCACTGCAACCCGTGGTGGCTTGAAGTGATTGTGTGAACGGGGTGACCAAGTTAAACTCTACTTCGCATAGTTGTATGACTCCTCAGGCATTCCTGAGACTTCTGTTTGCATAACAAGAAACAAGCACGTTAGTTGCATTCCTGCAATTAGTGTTGCATCTAGTGGTATGGCCTTAAATGACAGACCAGTGGCATCAGTGCATACCCGTGGGTATCCTGATTGGGAGCAGCTTCAGCCAGCATATGGGGCTCTAGTGCATGATGCAGCCACCATGGGCTGGGCCTGCTGAACACCCAGGAGGGTGATGATATCCCTGCCCCATGCAGCAGATAAGCATTTCAACAAGAATGCTATGCACTAAAGCTGAGCCACTTGCAGGATGCTGCTTGGCCTATCTGCATTGTTTCTTTCCGATCCGGCTAAGTCATGCTATGAAAGAAAGAAATGCAGAGATTAGGGATTTGGAGATGGTTGCAGGGGTCAGGAAGGCTTGCAGTGCTTTTGCAGGGTATTTTAGGTTGCAGGGCTGCAGCAGGGAATGCTTACATCTGGAATTGACAACTGGGTGCCCTCCAGATGTTTTAGGCCCCAAGCATGGCAAATGAGGAGGAACCATGGAAGCTGAAATCCAAATGATCTGGAAAGTGTTGGTTGCTTATTTGTTACACAGCCTCTTTTCACAATTTAGAAAATAAAATGCTAAAATCACATTTAAAAAACTCTCTATCTCTGAAGGATATTACAGGAGGGAAAGAAGAAATATCACTGGGCACAAGAGATGTCACACAGGCAGTAGACACGGAGTGCCATTCTGCAATAGCTGTGCACACCGGCATGGGACCACCCCCCACCCAAAAACACCCCTTGTTGTAGCACTATGTCACAATCTGAAAGAAAAGTTTCACAGTGCCTCCTTGCTTAACCCCAACTTGCACTTATTATATTTCAGAGCAATCAAGAACATGCCGATCGCATCCACAGATTTTGTGGCTCCGAAAACTTCAGCATCCCTGAGTTTTATTCTTATAGGCAAACCAGCACAGTGATTTTTAGATCAGACACCTATACACTTAACAGTGGGCTCCGCTTCTCTTACCAAGCTTCAGGTAAAGCTTTAAGTCTGTTTCTTACAGGCATTAAACTTTACTTAGGGACAGTAAAGGGATGTAATGGTGAAGTATTATAATGTGTAGAAATTATTTTTATGTCTCTTCTTCCTAGGTTGCAACAGAGAGTACAATCAATCCTTTGGGTATCTGAAAAGCCCGGCCTGGCCTAATCCTTATCCTCGTAATTTGGATTGTACCACTATTCTACGATCCCCACCAAATCACACAATCTCTCTGTTTTTCCATTCTTTTAACCTAGAGGACTTTGGATGTCAGCATGACTTTTTAGAGGTATGACCAGAAAATTACAGCCATATCCTCCCCTACTCAGCCAAACCAGCCCTGCTTTGCCTCTGCTCCACGGCTGCAACGGGGGGGGGGGGGGGGCGGGGGGTGACCACTCTTCCTTCCTTCCTTCCTCTCCCAGCAGCAGCACTCTCACTAGCAATGTTGGGGGGAATGACAAGCGATGGGGGCAGCAGAGGCTATGCCACTCTGCGGAGGGCACAGACATAGGTCCAAAGGGATCCCAAAGAGGTGTCAAATGAGCATCAAACGGGTGCTGCCTTTAGTGGCATCTGCAAGAAAAGAGCTCGATGCTCCATCCAGGAGGAAGTCCCAGTGCAGTGTGGCTCTTTGCTCCTGGCTGCCCCCACGACCTCCAATTTAAGTAGTTATTACCATAGTTGCTAATCCCCTGAATGGTACCCCATCTACTCTGGCTCTGTAATGGAAGCTAGGCCAGGATATGTCATATGGTACTCGCCAATATCTGCAAAAGTTTCTAGAACAGGCATGTTCACTGGTCTCTGCATTAAAGGGATGCTGCTGGAGGTGGGAGTTGTTTCCTGTGACCAGCCTGTCTCTGCTAAGAGCAGTGTCATGATATCCTATGGATCAGCAAAGCCACTGCATGAATCAGCCCTTGCAACAGGAAGAAACAATCAGCTTATGTAGTGAGTCACCTTCAGACAAGTTATCAGGATAAGTCAAGTGATCAGCATCAGTTGCAAAGCTGATTGTTCCTTGATTCATCCTTGACAACCTCACTGTTGCTAACAGATGCTTTTTATACATTCTTTTAAAGGTCAGAAATGGTAGTGATGCCAACTCTCCACTGCTTGGCAAATATTGTGGAAGCACCCTACCCAATCCTGTATTTCCTAAAAACCATGTCTTATATCTGCATTTCAAAAGTGATGTCCTAATTTCTTATGAAGGATATGAAATTACCTGGACGTCATCACTAAATGGTACCAACTGTGGTTTTAATTCTTATCAATTAATCAATCTTGTTTTATATCCTCCCCCCTGATCTTACAAGGTGGGCAGCTCTCAAACTATTTTTAAATAGCAAATCAGTAACCAATCATAATCAAACACTTAATTTAAAAAATTGATTTTTAATTTGGAAATCCACATGTATTACTTGTCAATGTACAATAGCTTCTGGGTACACCTTTGAGCACCAAATAGGAACACCTTGATTAATTCTGGAAGGTAAGGACTGAACTCATTTAATAGACTTTGCTACTTAAGGAGTTCCAAGAGAAGGGCAGGACCTTCCCAAAAGCGCTGCCCCTTGTTCCTTTGCATGCAACCTCCATCCAGGAACAGAAGGTTCTCTTCTGACAGGAGTGGACAAGCTGTATTCTCTAGCCCTTCACCCAGCTTGAGGAGTCCTTTGCAAACCATCAGTTCAGACTTCCAGCAGCCCACTGGGTGGAGAGGAAGTAAGAGGGAGAGAGGAAAGAAGGCCAGGGGTCAGAAAGTGACAAAGAGAGCATGAGAGAAAGAAGGGATGACAGGAAAGCAGTGCCCTGCCCACGTTAGGTTTTGAACCCATCCACCACTGGCATGTGACACCCCCCCCCCACCAGCTCAACAGATTACATCAACAGGGAGTGTGACTCCCAACAGGGGAAAAATAATAGTTCCTTGCCTCTGTCTTGAGTAATAGGGCCAAAGTGGATTTGATTTTTAAAACTAGTGCTTCATAATTGAGCTAGCTCCGAAACAATTTGGGAACCAATGCAGCTCTTTCAGTATCTGTGTTGTGTGTGTCTTCTCATTTTTATTATGAAATTAAATATTAGCAATATTATGAAGTTTGGCGATCATGGAAGGTTGCTCCCAGTGCAGTGTGCTCAACAATTCATTTTGCTGGTTCCATGTGCTGCAGTGGTCCAATATCCTTCTTCAGAACCATCCCCAATTGCAGGCTAACCTTAGCTGATATTCCTGGCCACAAGTGCTGCCTGAGGTTTCATAAACAATGCTGGATCCAATGGTATAACCCATTGTTCAAGGACAGAGTGACCCAGAATGGAGACCTGTGACCCTGAGCTTAATCAGGACTTTCTCTATCTTACCTAGGTTAAGATACACTTGGTGCCTCTGGACATCAGAATTTTTATTGGATCTCTTGGCTGTTTGCCAAGCAGAACCAGAGGTCCAGCCCCCTGGACTTCTTCCAGCAATTTCATAAGGAAGTTAAAAAGCTAGAAGCATTATAGTCCAAAAGAGTCTTTGGGAGTTGAGACTAAAATAAAACAAAGGGTGTGTGTGTATTGAGTGGCTTAATCTCTGCAGAAATGAAAAGCTGGTAAGAATTGCTTTGTACACGGCATTCTGACAAAACACACCTGTCTTGACTGAAATTCTAAACCACAGTCTCTACAAGGGGGCACTTGACTGGACTGTAGCGCTTCTGACATCCTTCCTGAAGTAGAGCTCGGTTAACATGCCTGAGAATTAACCACTTCTTCTTTAGCTTGATCTATCTGCAAGCATCCCTAACAGCTTCTAGGGATCAGATGCTAGTCTTCTCTTCAGTCTCTTGACGTCCAAAAGTCTAACACTCCAGTCTGAATTCATCTGAGCATGTACAAAGTGCCTTTCACTTATAGCCCTGTTGATGCTTCACTAGCTCAGGTACAATAGTTCTGAGCAGATCGGAAACAGGCTTGAGGTGCTGAGTTTTGCCTTGCTACATTCTGTGTGGAGCCCAGATAATATTCATGAAGAGGCTACACCATAAACAGGTTAAGCTTGGCATGCATCCCTTATGTGTTTTTTTGGCATGCAGAATATTAATTCCAGTACACACCATTTTTTTCATACCACCATAAACCTTTTCGCCACCCTGTACCTCCTTCACAATCAGCATTGATACAAATCACTCTTTTTTGTGCCTGGAGGAGCCAAGAGAACGGTGGCTCCCCCTTTCCCCCAGCAGTTCTGTTGCTCTTATGCATGAGGAAGGAGGGATTAGCCTTCTGCCCCAGTGATCCTGGAATGGAAGGTCCAAATGAGGCTGTTGCCTGAAGCAGCAAATGCTGAGAGGTGGCCATACCACACTAGAAGAGAGAAGCGTGTGCCATGGGGCCTTCCCTGCATCCCATAAGCTAGCCAGTTGCCTCCAGGAATTCTGTCCCATCACTGGTGTTAAAGAAAGATCTTGATGCTTGAAGCAAGGCTTTTGTACATGAAACAGAAAGGGATACCATCTTGTTCTTCAGCTCAATGACTTGGGTCAGTCTTGGAGACCCACAAATTGTACACCTTTGATAAATATTCAGGCCAGTGCATTTAAGTAAATCCATCTCTCTCTTCTTCCCCACAATGCTTGCTCAAGTTTAAACATCAATGAAGTTTGTTTAGAAATGCTTTGTGCCATTACATAGCATAAACCCTAATTGTTCCTCCCTATACTTCACATAATGCTTGGAACAACTGAAAATTTGGCACTAACAGGCATTTTCTGTTCCTAGGATGTGGTGGCACCTTATATGGTGAGACTGGTTCATTAGCCAGCCCAGAGTACCCAGCTTCCTATCCGAATCAGACAGATTGTGAGTGGACAATTGAAGCCCCCAAAGGAAAGGTTGTTACAGTTAATTTTGATTTCATCAGCATTGATGATCCAGGCGACTGTACCAGCAACTACCTGAAACTCTATAATGGACCAGACAGTAGCTATGCACCAATTGGACCATACTGTGGACTGGTAGGTTTCCATTTTCTTACTATTCCTTGTTTCTCAGTGCATAATACTATAGTGCAAATATGGATGGAACAGAAGCAAGAGTGAGATTATGGGAGTCAGTAGGAACTCATGAATTTTCAAGTTCCTGGAACAACAGTTTTTAAATAATCTATCCTGCTCCTGTGTCAGCAAGTTACCAATCCATGCTAAGGTATTTTCAGAAAGTAACCAAAGGAAGAAAACTGTCCAATCCCGAGATCAGTATGTAGCGCTTATCTTGCCAAGTGTCCAGGTGGGTACCAAGAGTGGTCAAGGAACCCATCTCATCCAGGAGATCAATGCAAGGCATGGGAACTGAAATATCATTGTCTCCAACAGAGAGCAGGCTCTGCTGGGCTAATTTAGAACTGGCTGATTAATTAGTTCAGCATGTTGATCACAAAAGAACGCCCCCTCCCCCGCCCCCCCGCCAGTGTCTTCTAAGGCTCTTGCTTCATCCCTGGACTTTCCATGGGATGGATTGCCTCCAGTTCTGCCTTCTGTCCTTTGACGTCCAGGAATGAACCAGGAGGAGCCGGGCAGCTCTTCCAGCGGAAGGCTGTTAGTGCAGTGTCGATGTTACCGCCTGGTTCTGACTGAGGCCTCCTGTGCCAGATTTCCCCTCTTCCTCCTCTTCGGATGAATGCTCCAAGCAGGCCATGCTACCCTTCTCTCATTGCTGCACCACATTTCATGTGATATAAAGAAAGAGTGTCTGTAAATATATAAGGCCACAGCCTTGCCACTGGAAGATGTCTTTGTCAACCATTCTCCATAGGCTTCCATCTGAGAAGTCACAGGCATGATTTGAAGACAACGTTGAATCCCAGCATATCTCATTCAAAAATAGGCAGCATAATCCTCTGCAAAGTATGGACCTTTTTTGCTTTTTCTTTAACACATGACTTATGGAGGAATGTACTGAAACAGGGAAATCTGGCTTATTTGAGCTGGATGGATTTCCTAGCCCCTTCCAATCTGATGACTGGAAGTGAGCCAAGACTTTCCCCCCTCATCTTTAACTACTAATTAAATCTGTTTAGATTGGCACCCGAAAGCCAGGCGGCTGAACATGCTTGTGCATAATTGATCAATTTGCATGAAATTGCAATTTGTGCAAGTTTCATGGGCAGTTAAAAATGTAGTCCATCCTACAGATAGCAGTCCGCACACTGCTTCAACTTGCACCACAGTAAGTTGGCACCAACCCCGGTGTTACAGTTTGGGCAAAATGTCAGGAGAAGGTAAGGAAAACCTGGGTACCAGTGCATGTACAGAGACCTGGAAATAGCATTGACTGGGCAAACAAAGTGAACCATCAAGAAGAACACCTGGCTGCTGCTTTTCTGTACATGGTCAGCATATTATTTGGCTTATACTTGGGTTTGGGGTTAGGGTTAAGCTTCAGGTTAGGGTAAGGAAATTATGACCCTTGCGGCACTGGGCAAGGAAAGTGAATGGTCAACATGAACACCCTCAGTGCAGATTTTGTGCATGTTGTCTGAACATACAGGGGATATACCTGGGTATCAGGGTTTGTGTTAAGATTGAGGTTGGGTTAAGATATCAAGACAGACATGTTTGCACACAAAAGAATTCCTGCCCACTTCCGATGGGATGACTGGAAGGGGGCAGTCAGGGTGTGTGTTTGCATTTTGCCAAATTCCATTTTTTTTAAGGCAGAGCAGGATTTGCACTCATTTTTAAAGCTAAAAATGGACTTTGCAGAAATAAGGATCCCCAAATCATGTGATTTTAGAAGGATGCCTACATAATTAGTTTATAAAATCATAATTTGCACAAATCAGCATATACTACACAAATCACAGTGGAGTCACATGCTTTGTGGGTGCATATTTGTGCAAAATTTCCTTACTCCCTTCTTGGAATCCTTATACATACTTAGGCAGCTTTACAGCCATTCCAATGGAAAGACTATGGTGACATCTAGTGGGAATTGCTAAAATGTTCTTTTTCAAAAGTGCTCCCTTTTGTTTCCCAAATGTGTCTCTTATGACTGGGTTCTAACTCTCAACATTTTTCTAGTGGATAATATTATGATTGGCCTCCACACATCAGATGATTCATCAGTGGCTCAGTTACAAATGTCTTGAGAAAATCTAGCTGCAGCAGCACTCTCTTTGATAGGGTGCCTTTTACGTCTGTTCAGAAACGATGGATGTGACAAAACTCAGGACCTGGACTGCTAGCTGGTAGAGATAATAGGGAACACATCTGTCCAGTTCTGAATGAATGTCACTGGTTGCAAGCTTGTTTCTGGGCAGAAACAATTCAAAGCACTGATTTTAAGCCTGAGAGCCCTGAACAGCTTGGGAGACACCCATTGTAAAGATTAGCACCTCTTAAAAAGACGTTCATCAGGGGCCCTCCTCAAATATCTCCATCTTCAGTTCATAAAGTGCCAAAATCAGAATGCTGCCATAGTCCACAATGCTTAACTTTCTGTTGACACATCCACCCAAAATGGGTCACTTTTAAGTCCCACTGGCTTCAGCAACAGGGGATTATTAAACTGCCCCTGGCTAACAAGCGCTGCTGCTGCTGCTGCTCCTGGGCTTTCCAATTGTTACATTTAACCCAATGGTCAAATGATTTGCCCAATGGACCTTGCTGCTGGGGAGCCCATTGTGCCTGTCTAGTTCTCAGGAGTAATAGTGATCCGGGCGGAGAGAAACATTTCAGATCGGCCATGGTGGGGGCACAACAGAGTGCCACATACAGGTGGGGAAAAGTGATACATGCGTTGCATCTGGCCTGTACAGAGGGTGTTGTGGTATTCAAACCCATCTCAATGACTGATGAGCACGGGGCTATTCTGAATGAAGAGCACTGCAGCCCAGCCCAGCTATCTGCTTGCAGGGAGGGAAAGCCATTTGCAACTTAGTAGTGTAGGAAGTTCATACCCAGAACTGATCCTTGGTTCACCTTGTCCAGCACTGTCTGCACAGAATAGCAGTGGCTCTGATACCAGCACCTTTCCCAGCCATGTCTGGAGCTACTTGGGATTGAGCCTCAGCTATCAGCATGCTAAGTATGCACTCCACCCCTGAGCTGTGGCCCTTTCCTAAAGGAGTGGGATATGTGACTGGGAGTAACAGAGGGAAGAAGGAATACCCAAGTCCACCCTTCTATATCTTGGACTATAGCCCCCATTGTTCTGACCAGTGGTCATGCTAGTGGGGGCTAATGGGAATTGGGAGTCCAATGCCACCTGGGGGACTGCCATTTCTCCTACGTCCGTCAAAGGTGCGAGAGGCTTCTGCTCTGCTTCTGCTCAGCAAGAGGCACGCAGTTCACCAGCTAGACTGGGGACATGGTGACTTAGGGCACAATCCTATACATGCTTAGGCAGAAAAAAGCCTGCAGTCCTCACCATGTCCCAACCAGCCCAGCTCGGGTATGCTGGCGACTGCAGGGTTTTTATCTGTGTATGCATGCATAGGGATGCATCCTTAACTATGCAACATTCTCACAGAAAACAATTGCTGTATGTAAGCATTTACTATCTTATTTTTTTCTTTTCAGGACACAAACATTGCTCCGTTTACAGCTACGTCACATCAAGTGTTCATAAAATTTCATTCCGAGTATGTAACACGGCCATCAGTATTTAGACTAACCTGGAACACCTAAAAACATTTCCTGTCAGGGGCCAGGCAGAGGGGAATTACCTAGCACTTTTGTTACTGAACATTCTTCAAAAAATGTGACTGTTCCTGGTGACAATAAAATTACTTTGGCAGCAATGTAGTTGCCCTGTAGTAAGAATTATTTCAAAGAAATGCAACTCATTTTTGTTTATAGGAATCTGTGAGTGCGCACATGTGCGTGCATAACTTCGAAACTGCATGAGTGCCTCTGAGCAAGCTGTTCTCCAAAAATACTCTGCCACAGGGACAGAGTCTTGAACTTCTTATAAATACTTAAAAGAATTGCAAACCTACACCTGTTTTACCTGAAACAACCTTGATGTTTTCCCAAGTTTAATGCATTTTCCTCCCATTTGAAAAGGCTGGACTACTTCTCCTTGTTCCATTCTGGGTGGGGGGTGCACTGAAAAGGCCCTTCTTGTTGGACCAGCCAAGCCTCCTTTGGAAGTGGTGATGGGAGGTAGACCCCAGATCTCAAATGCAGTGTCCATACAGACTGCAGCTGGGAGAACATTCTGTAAGGTGTTGTGGTCTCGAGCTGACCATCACTAGCCTATATTCAGATGTTCCTCAATCTTCCATAGCTCAATAAATTACAGTGTCCTCGCATGCTTGGTTATCCTGAATCATGTGAACTGTGCCTAAGGACATATGTTGGCAGGAGGTGCCCATTAATATCCTACCTTCTCAATTAATTTAACATTTCTTCTGAGAGTCTTCTCATTGCAAAGTCATGGCTGCAAGGGATCATTTAAAAGCTGAGTCTATTCTACTCTCACTTTTGTGAAGTTTATATGAACAATTTGCTGGAAGGGGAAAATGTGCCATTTATTTTCCCAGTATTCCTAGACCTCTTTGCAGTGCACCTTCCTTGATTACGTTTTCACTGTGCTATTGAAGGAAAAGATGGGGCAGGTATATAGTAAGCTAGGCTACTGAATCTTTGCAGTCAAAAAGTGCTTTATACTTGCTCATCCCTGCCAATCTGTAGAAAAGAATTACTATAAAAAGAAAATAGACTATTAAAATATGTGGGAGGCATCAAAGACTGACTGATCTAGTTACAACTGTAACACTTCCTGCAAAGACATTCTGCTAATGAGGGGTGCAAAACTGTGGTTTTCCTGATGTTTTGTGGAAGGGGCGAAATTACAATTCAAATTAGCTTGTTTTAAGTATTTATTACATTTCTCTGTTGGCCCTTGGCTGAAGATCTCTGAGCTGTTTACAAGACACAGGACTTATCTACAGGAGGTAGTTATTCCATGTTCATGGTTCCTCAGTCACAGTGGTTTGCAGATTCTTTATGCAATGCCATCATTTTCCAAGGCCTCTCCCTGCAACCATTTAGCATTCTGAGGAGGAAAGTCTGGTATTTCTATGAATGTGGACATGAAACCCTGGCGTAGTTGTGCAATTCTGCTACACCACAGCATTACCTAGTGGTTTCTTAATGGAATGCATAGAAAGGAAGAGAAAAAATAACATCCATGTTAAAGAGGCTAAAATTAATCACACAAAGGATCTCAAAACAGACACCTTGGCAAAGTGGCAGTTTAAAAGCTGCATGTAGAAAAGGGCACAGTTTCAAACCATAACATATAAAAAAAAGTAAAACTAATATAAGTCTAAAGTGGATGAAACCAAAGAAGCAATTAATATAAAAGCCAGCAGCAGTGCAAAGATTTAAAAATCCACGAGCACAGATTTTTAATTGGTAAGGCTAAAAAGCCTGGGTAAATAAAAGGTGCTGAAAGTCCACAGTGTAGACATTATGGGGAGATCATTCCACTGGGTGCCACCACTGAAAAGGCCCTCTCCTTTGTTGCTGCCTCATTCATTGGATGCCTGGAGGATTTTCAGTGGCACATTTTTTTTAAGGTCCATGAAGGTTGTAGGCATTCTAAAAGCATCAGCTTAGTTTCTGTCTCATATTTAAAAATGTCATATTTAAAAACGTCCTTCTGTCTCATATTTAAAAACGTCCTACAAACGGCATTCCAGAGAGAACCACGCTGGCTGTATTATCGGAAATTGCACAGGATGGCACCTTTACTGTTCATAGCCGCGTGCCGTATTTGACCCCTTTTTTGTTAATATCCTTTTGATCTGTGTGCGCTAATGAACTTTCCTTGTACACAGCAATGCAGACCTATCAAGCATAAAATGAGGCCGCGGAAAGAGGGATAAACTGTAATGTTGTTTGCATCCTTTGCCACGTGGGCTCCTAAAACCATCCTGCCCACTACGCTCCGTTCCTTACCGCCATCGTATCCCCTGCTGTCTCACTGGACGCCCTCCGATGCGTTTGTTGGGAAAATGCGGGAGCTGTAGCTCAGCGCATCTGGAGAGCACCAGGTTGGGGGACCGCCACACAAGTTTGCAACAACTTCCTTCCTTTCGGCCGCCTGTGCGGCTCTTCCGGGCTCGCAAGGTGATTGGCTCGCTTTGGCGACCTCTCAACCAATCGCAATCGGGAGAAGATGAAAATTCCTCTCGGATTGGGTAGCCGCCGGCAGCACATTCCGAGCTGCGGGCGGAGCCGCTGCTTCCCAAAGCGATTCGCCTTACTTGGAGCGGAGCGCTCCGGGCTTCCCTCTGGAACTCCCTCCCGGCCGGGCGCCTGGTCCTGGAGCGCGTGCGCACTGGGAGTGGACGGGAACTCGGGCTGAGGCGCCGACGACCCGGAGGCGGCGCTGGGTAGGGCGTGTGCGCGAGACGTCGGGAGCTCGCCTCGCCGCCTTCGAGCTGACCAAGCGGCCCGGTCTCTTGTGTCGGTGAGTTGCTGCGTCGCCCGCCGAGCAGGTGCCTGGGCGGTGGGGGAGCCCCTCAGTCTGCAGCGCGCCCCCTCACACTTTCTCTTGGGGAAGGTGGCCGCTGCTGACCGTGAGAAGTGACAGCTCCTCTCAGGAAGCAGATCCCCATCTCCTTCGAGGGCGGTGTCGCTATTAAAAAAACAACAACAACGGACACCAAACCGGCTGTGCTTTTTTATAGCTGGACACAGGCAGCAAGTCAATTGGTGAAGCTTTTCCGTCACTGCTTAGGGACGGTTGGGAGGGACGCTTCACCTGTGGATTTCTGCCCGTGCTGCATCTGCATCAAATGCAGAGATCATGTGGCTGTTTCCGTGGCCATCAGATGCATCAGTGTGAACAACTGGCCACGAGAGCTCACGCCAGAGTGAGTCGCTTAGTCTTTAAAGTGTCACCAGACTCTTTGGCGTTTTTGCTGCAGCAGAGTGATGTGGCCATGTCTCTGGGAAGCTTTCAGAAAGTGGCAGCATAGTCCAAGGTGGCTTTTTCGAAAACTCACTCTCCTTTTTTCCAGGGTCAAGAGGAAATGGTTTGTACTTTGTGTTACTGAGCATGGTCGTCCAAGTTTTATGAGGCTGGTTTCCTTGTGTCAGTTTCACCAGAGCGTGACAGTGATAGAGAAAAAGCATAGGAAAGAGTGGGCCTTCATATTACCAGCTAAGGGGCCCCAGCTAGAATGCTGAGAGTTGTAATCTAAAGCATCTGGAGGGCACCAGATTGGGGAAGGCAGTGGCATGAGTCTTAGACATTGCTTATTATTGGTTTGCTTGTTGGCAGTAATGGTACCCTGGCCTGTACATGTTGCCTCGACTAGCAAGGACTGACATGGGGCTTCCAGTGCTTTTCCATGTAAGGATCTGATCAGATCTGCACCTTCCTAGCTCCAGCTTCTGACACTCTGAGGCAGGCCATCATGCTGCTTTTGCATTTCAGGAAGCCATTGTTGGGACTTACCCTTGAATATTGTGGATTGAGCTACTTCACGAGCTAAGAACAAGAGAAATGTCAGTTTTGCATGTTACTTTCCTGTCATTTTGAAAAAATGTGCTATGAGTGGGCCAGCAGTTGAAATATATACCCATCCATCTTTGTAGATTTTATAATACAGTGTGTCCTTAAGTGGGGCAGTTAGGATGATTAAAAGTTCCTGAAAGTTTTTCCATTCATGAACCCAGTTTATATTATGCATATGCCAAATTGCCTTTTCCTTCTGCCTTGGAAGGGTTCTGCATTTTCGGATTTTAAAATGGAACAATGATAGGGATGCAGTCCCAATAAATGTTGGAGGTGAGTTAGCACAAAAGCACTGTCCATCTGAACGGACTGGGATAGGAAACATAGGAAGTGGCCTTTTATCAAGTAAGCCTATTTGCTCTTCCACCTAAGGAAGCACTTGACATTTTTCAGCACCTGCCAAGGTACTCCAGTCTCTCACATTTTTAAAAATTAACACATTTTCTTATTGGTGCTGAAAATTGTGATTGCATAGCCAGTATAGCCCAGTACTGCCAATTCTGACTAGTAGTGGCTTTCAAAGTTCAGAAAAATAATTAGGTGTTTTCCACTACCTGTCTGATCCTTTAGTTGGGCGATTGTGGAGGCCACTGGGGCCTTCTGCATAGAAAGCAAATGTCTTACCACTGAGCTATGTGTTTCTTCCCATATTAAGCAGTGTGTTTGTGCAAATCATCTTCCCGTTTCTTGTCAAGACTAAGCAAACTTAACTCCTGAATTTGAAGATCCCAGCAGCAACTTTTGTGATTACCAAAACAGCAACTTGCAGATGTTTTAAAAGTAGAGATTGCTGCTGTGTCCTTCTGTATGCTTTTAGCTCAGATGCACTGTTGCTCATGCAAGCAGAAAATACCAGTGAAGAGTTAATCAGGGGGTAGGCCAGTTGCTGCAGCTTTTGAACAGGCTCTTGGCTGGGAGACATGAATTCATGCAAGATGGCTTGCTGCCTGCCGTGAGCTAAAAATTCGCAGGTGATGGGTTTTCTTTTCATGGAAGGGAAACAGTGATCTTGGATGAGTTTGTGACTCATCCAATGTATCATTGGAACCAACTCAGTTGGGACAATAAATAGCGCCTGCCTCTAGTTGCTGTCGTCTTTTTCTTTTCTGAAACAGCCATGTATTTACATTCCACACTGCGCCTCTGTCCTTGTTTCAGCTTTCACCATGTCCAAGTCATTGAAAAAAATTGTGGAGGAGAGCAGGGAGAAGAACATTTTGGAGGTGGACATGTGCGAACGAAGCATCTCTAATATGCTGGACATACCTGGTTTGTGTAAGTATTTTTCTTCCCACCCATGCCACCATGGGGGCTTTGCCATTTCTCCCAATGTACATTTGTTTCTGTAGGATGATGTTGCTTGCAGTTCATCCTCCAGAGTTGGTAATCTTGGAAAGCAGGTTTTGCATCTCCAGTGTATTAATTCAGGTGTTGAAAAAAGTGTTCGAAGCATGCCTTCTTTTTCTCTTCTTTACTTTTCTTCCTGGTCGTACTTGTAACAGGTAGGTCATGTGAACTGGTCTTGTGTAATGGCTGAGACTATGAGTTAGGCAAGGCTCTTTCTACTTCAGGCCCTATTTGTAAATATAGGAATTATAATAATACAGGCCTTACCTTATAGAGGTAGCCTGAGGATTGTTGCGATAAGGTGATCAATAGCTCCTAGTCATAATGGCTATATGTTACATTCAAGATCAGAGGCAGTCTGCCACACAGTACCAGATACTAGGAAACAACAGGGGTAGCTGGCACAGTTCTTTCCATGCCAGTTGTAAGTGGGAAGTCTCAACTCCAGTGTTGGAATAGGGACTATGAAAAATCCTGTGCCCCCTAAAGATGCTTTCTAGGGGCCAAAGGATCATTCTGTTAATGCTGAGTGACTTATTCAAGAAGAACTGGTCACATACTGTTTATAGTTAAGTTTATAATTACCTATAATTTATCTTTTTAGATTGCCAAAGCAGACTTGTAATGCATGCAGCCAAACAAAGAGTGTGTCTGTGTATATATTCACATAGATGGAGGGTTCACTCTACAGTGCAGTCCTTTGCACATTGGTTCAGACATCCAGTGGGCTTTACTTCCTAATAGGTACATTCAGGATTGCAGCTATTCTGTGTGAACAGTAGCAAAGATGAGCTTCTCAGCTTGTTGGGCAATTGAATTCATGTGTCACCCAAGATGGATGACAACTATCTTAGAAATCTTACATTTCAGAGCAAATTCTTACTGAGGCACTCAGGGCCATGGAACCCACATTTTTCTCAGGACATGCATGGGGAGTTCTTTGAATTGCATTGTGGGTTCTCTTTTTAAAAACTGCAATTTCAAGGTGGAAGATAGTAATTTGGGCTACAGCCAGATTGTGACACAGGAAAGGAGCCTATTACTTAATTGCACCTCATGTATTATGCACTGGGAATAATCTGTATTTGCATGTATAAATCTGCAACTGCATCACTACAGAGCAGGGATTCCTACAGCTGAAATTGGTGAGGAAAGAATTTTTTAATCTTAGTAAAGAACTGGGAGTCAGCACATCATCCAGTGATCTACTAATAGATCCCAATCTATCTTCAGCCCAGGTTTAGGACATTGGTATAGCAGTTTGTTTTCCAGAATAGTGTAGTTTCACAAAATTCCAGAACCTGATTGAGAAATAAACACATACTATTCTTCTGTGTTCTGTTTGTCTGCATCTCAGGACTGTATGTCATCAACCAGTTGCCTCACTTTTGTAAATATATACCCAATTCAGCTTGTCTGGGTCCCAACAGAGCTCTAGGAAATATGACTGACCAGTCACTTGCAGATGTGTATGTGTATCCATCTGTGCATTCCCCTGAAAATAATGCAGTACAAATGGATGACTTCTGAAATCAGATGTGTGTCCATTTATGCCCATGGTTCCTAATCTAGCAAAAGCAGCAAGTGTAGAAATCTGATTGCATGTATAACTTTCTTTATCCTGCACAGTGCAAAATGTTCACTGATGCTTTTTAATTCTGTGATTAATTGCAAAACACTCCTGGTTGTAGTGTCGCACATTTCAAGCCCATTAGGGTTGAGATCAGACAGCTCCTGTCGTTCATGAACATGTGTGCTTCCTCACCAAATTGTTTTAATGACTGGAGTTTTGACCCACCAAAGAAATGTCGGCCTTGCTGTTGTCCAATTTTAAAGAGAGGTGAACCCCAGACTGATTGGGATGGAGAGTTTGCTAATAAAATCAAATGGTTAAACTAAACATTTGAGGTCCAGTCCTGTGCATGTTTAGAAAGGAAGGGAGTCATGTAACTTGCAGCATTCCCCAGCCAGTCATAGGATTGGAATCTTAATCGGACAGGAAGGGCCTTCCAGATGCTGTTGCACTGCCACTTCTATCAATACAGACCAGTATAGCCCTCAACATCTGCAAGGTCATGTGCTTCCTATCACCATATCTGGTGCATTAAAATCATTAAGACTGATTAGTATAATTATTAATAATATCCACAGCTTGAAACAATAAACACAGCTTGAAACACGGTTCAGTATGATGCCTGTCTGTCAACAGAAAAACATCCCTCATGTGCACTACTCACGGGACTTCTCCTATTCCCATGGTCAGACCTGAACACATCATACTGAGCGCGGTTATCAGCAAAAACAGCAGACGTGTTGTTTTTGTCCTCTGTACCTTGCAGGATAACTTACTATCACTACACTGTGTAGTGCATGTGCTGTGTGAGGTAGATGGACCATATTGTGACCTCAGGACCTGAATATGTTATTCTAGGTATTACAAAGGGAGAGGAGGAAATTATGCAGCTGCTCTTTTCAGTGACACAGTAAACACAATGTGCAGAGCTGTAATTCACACTGAATGCTTCTCCAGTAAGTGCTCAGTGTGAACAGAAACTGTGAGGAAGCCCTGGCATACATGTCCTGATAAACCAGAATTTTGAAAAGTTCTGGATTATTTTGAGCAAATGAATGAGTTGGTGCGTGCCGCGTGAAGCAGCTAAACAATTGGGAATATAGAAACCATGGTTTCTCAGCCAGGCTTGTCATGGGAGAGATGAAACAAACACCCAGCGCGGGACATTGCTGGTTGTTTATTTCCTTGCAGCAGGAGTAATAAAATATGTTGAACAAGCCTTTGGCTCATCCATGACAACAAATGCTTTAAAAACATACATAAGCACCCTGTGATATTGGTTCACATATATGGATATATCAGATATTCTAAATATCAATTTAAATTATATTGCCATATTTCTTGGGACTTTTATATAAATTTACAATGGCTATTTCCCATTGTATCAGGCATCATCTGTAACCACAGAGTGGTTTGTTTTGTTTTTTAAAATGTTAGCATTAAAAAGTATTCTTACTGTCACTTATGGAAAGTCTGGATATTAGAAATCATTAGATGACATTTTAAAATAAAAATAATTGGTGGGGAAATTCATCAGCATAATCACTAGAAGCCCTCATCTGAGAATTCCTCATTTCTTACATTTATGACCTGTGGGGAAAATGCACACATTTTATCTGTCTCCTGCTTCTGGAGGAGAGTCTGGGTGGGTGAGGAAGACAGGAACCTTGTCTCTCTGTTGCAATGGTCTTTCCAAGGTCAAGGGCATGCTGCTTTCCTGACATAGATAACTCAGTATTCTGGAAAACACCAGTTCTGAAGCCAAGAATTAAAGGACCGGAAAAGATCATATCTGCTGAAACCTTTTCTTAATCTTCTTTTATAACATGTTCTCTGAATTGAACATAAATTAGTAATGGCTTTGCTGGCAGTGAAGAGATCTGGAGCAGCAAAGTCTCTCTTTTCTGGATTAACAACTTATCCCCTGAATCTTCAGAGACAGGCAGACACTAAGTCTATGCTAATTATCTCATAATTAATTCAGATCTGCTTTAACAGGCTTTCCTTTTCATGATGTGACATTAGTTAAGTAGCAACACCTGTCTCAAGAGTTCCCTTTGTCTGAAACATTAAATTATCCAATCAGAAATTATCATATTGCTTAATAATGTCAAGGATATTTAAGTTATTTATCGGTTTATAGCTAGACAGCTTATTAGGCAGATGCTGCACTTCAGTTCCCATTGTGGCATTTGGTTAATTAGGTAGTAGTACTTGCTAATGACTCAGCCACATGGGAAAAGAGTTAACTCTTGTTGGCTAGAAGAAAATGAGCTTTTATTTTATTTTATTTTTAAAAATCCATTTACATGTCAGCAGAGTTTCATATACAAACAAACCAGGAATTGGAACATGCATCAGGAGTATGCAGTCTCCTGTGAATCTGATTGCCAGAGGTGATTATCCTCAGCCCTTAGCAAGTGGGGCACTCTGTACTATTTATTCCATAGGGTTGATTTTCCATGCAGCTTTTGAGCAGATGAGGTACAGCAGAAATTTATTTCAAGCAAGAAGAGAAACTGTCGTCGTGCCTCCCCTTCACCATATTTAGCATGTGTGAAGGAGGACCCTGCCTCTCTGCAAATCTTTTGCGTGTGCCAGGTGATTCAGGGGTCAAGATCAGTGGCAGAAATTGCCACCTACTATAGTCAGATGTAATAGGAAACATGGTTTATTCATGCAGGTGACTGAAGTTTTAAACTTGTTCCCCTTGCATCTGAAGAAAGAGGCCCGAGGCTTGCTGTGCTGCATTACTGTCAGAACAAGCAATGCTTTGTTGTGATGATTTAAACCAGATCAGAGTTTTGCTATCTAGGAAGGGCTTTAATGGGGGTATTGATACAATCGAACTTGTCCAGGTTATAAACTTGGTGCTTTGATCTACCTTGCTTGTCCTGTCTTTGAGGCATCTAGATTTCTTCTTCCCTTATTGTAGTCCTTAAGTTGTATGCTTCTTTAAACTTTTTGCATGCAGCCATATGGGTTGTGCTCTTACTAGACAAAAGTGCTCCAAGTTTGGAAACCTCTGCCTATCCTGTGCGGTGCCAGCAAAAGCCAGGGAAGGTTGGCAGAGCAGAGGCAGCATTTCTTCACTTTCTCCATGTAAATCAGAAAAAGCACTTAGCTGACTTAATTTTCTGTCTCTGGGACTGAGATTTATTGTGGCCACAGGATCAACAACAGGATCTCCAGCTCCACACTCCTCCTCTGATGAGGAGACCCACAGCGTCCCGTGGACCATGGATGTTAAGAATTGCTTTCTTAATTTTTGTTGCAAGTGTCTTGTTATATGGCTGCAATGTATAATGGTACAATCCACTGAAATTTCTTTTGCACAAGTACAAATTGAAGCAAAGGCCATGCTCTTGTGTAACTTCCTTTTTCCGTGGCTTGTGTTGAAAATGTATGTAATTTATCATGGCTGCCTCAATGATGTAGTGGAAATAATTGTCGGATACTTTTAAAACAAGGAAACTCACATTTTAAAGCACACAGGCAACTTGTAGGGGCAGCGAAGGCCAGCATAGAGGGAGGGGTGACCTTTGAGCATGCAAACAGTGCAGGTCTGACCCCCCAGCCCCCCCCTCCGCCTACCTCTCACAGACCCATCACAGGTCCACCTCCACTGATGCAGTGACTTTTAAAAACAAACAAGCGCTGAATTGACAGTTTTGTGCTATTTTGGGTCTTAATCTTCTTCTTACCAAGTGTTGCGTGACTAACCATAGCTTTATCACACTGTGGCAAATGACTGTCTACTCAGAAGGAGGTTTCCTCTTAATCTGTGTAGCAGTAACAACTTGATGAGCTTGAGCTTGAGCTGGAAAAGAGATGATATAGTAACACATTATGGAGAGAGGAAGTTAGGGCTGAGTTTTTAAAAGAGTCTAACTTAGAATGATAAGGCCATTTGGAATGATGTTTCGTAGGATGTTTCCCAAGGCTGGAAATCCTGGGCTGTTGCTAGACATAAAAGATTCAGGCCCCAGCCCCATAGATGCAAGTTTACATAACGTTTGCATATGCTAATTTAAACTATGCATACAGATTTGGACATAAATGACTAGGATTTAGGCAAATTTTATAAAAGGAAAAGCCATTGTACTGATTCCTTCCTGACTACTCTCTCTCTCTCTGCTATCCCAGTGGAAAAGTGTACCAACCAACATGGACCATTCAGGCCAGCGGAAGATTTTTAATTAGCTTAACAGCCATGCATCCAACCATTTTCAAGGGAATTGCAGCAGGGGAAGGACAGGTGACTTCTCTCTTCCCTGTCGCTGTTCCCACTGGAAACTGCTGTCTTCCACTGGCGTGAACGGCTGTTCTGCCTTGGCTTTGTGCCCAGATTAGTAAACTGTAATTTTTGAATAATTTTTCTTTAATCTAGGAAGTTGAAAATCCCATTGACTTCGAAGTATGATGAATTGGCATCAACTTCAACTACATTTTAAAATACTGTAATAGTGTCACCTTTCCATTTTATTTCTTTTTGGCTTTCATGAATCACACAGTGACACTATAAAGAGCCTTCTGAAATCTTTTGCTTTCTGAAATCTAGGCATCACATTAAAAATGAAGCTAGGATGCCATCTTGTGAAATTGGTGACATAGCTTAGCAGAACCTTGCTTTTAAGGATTTTTCTGTCAAATAGTTTCAGTGGCATATTTTTCCTTAACTCTCAAAGCTGCCTGTCATTATTCTATGTTTAGTCACAGCAATTAATCATAAAGATAATTGTCAGCTACTAAGAGAGGAAGTTTCCTCTAGGATATAAATTGTGGCATATGTAGGAATCTGGCCTGCCTTCAGAATTTTGTTGAGTTGCTAGGAGTGCAGTGCAATTCTGTTCCAATATAACCTGTAGTCTAAAGGATTCTAAATCATTTTTATAACCTGTTAGGAAACAGCAACCTGTGGCATAGAAGTCAAGTTAACTTTGGATCCTTTTCTGTGGACTGGTTTACTGGTAAAATAAAACAGCAGTCAAACTTAAACTCACAGATTTATTACAGTGATAGACCAGCATGAGTGCCACTAATGCCAGTCTGTAAAACATTATTCTAACCTTATTCTGATTGCATTTGCACTGCCTGCTGTTTCTTCCCATCATGTTCCCCTCCCCACTTCAGTATCAGCCACAAATGCATGTTCCCACTGCACTGCAGGGAACTGTTCTTGTGGCCATTAAAAAGCAACTACTGCATCAGTAGAGATGGAAGAACCAGGAATGTCTGAACTTTCTGAAATTGCAGAAACCTAACTTTGAAACTTGGTATGGCTCACTCCTGCTTGTACTTGTGAGATGTTTATTTGGTTCATTCAAACATTCAAGCATGTTCAAAGTGTTTATTTCGAAAGAGAAAAATGCAAATTTTCCCTTTGCATTTTTCCTCTGTTGATTACAGCATGAAATTGATCTTTTTTAAAATGTACATTTTGAAGTTTATTGCAAGTTTAGGAATGTGCAAACCATCTTTGAAGCAGTTCACTCCCATTAACATTTACTTTTTGAATTGTGTGTGCAACAATTGCAGATGATTTGCCAACTGAAATAAAATTCTTGCATATCCCTATGCATTAGTGATTTCTAGCAGTCATGGGGTGAGTCATAGGTCAATGACTTTGCCAGTACCTCACTTGCAGAAGTCCCAAGTGCAATTCCTGGTGTCTCCAGTTAGAGTACTAAAAACAGTTCATGAAATTCATGGAAAGACCATAAAGTAGGTGTCATGTGAGCCTCTTTAGCAAGAGCATCCCACAAACAGGGTGCCACCACTGAAAAGGCTCTGGTAATCTCATTTCAAATGGTAGGACACTGGCAGGAGGGCCTCAGACAGCACTCTTGACTTGTCAGGTTCAGGGCAGAGGCAGCAGGTATTTCTGGCTGGAGTACCTGGACAAGGGGTGATGGGGTGGATGGAGATCTTTGTGTGATGCAGTGGGGCCAGGGACAAAGGCAAAGCCAGGAACAAGCAAGAGCCAGATACACAGCATGGCCTGACAGGTCCAGAGGCAAAGCAGAGTCAGGTGCAGGCGAGGATCAGGTATCTGGCATGCTGGTATCCGACCAGAGGCAAGAGCTGCGTCAGGAGCAGGCAGGAGGCATGACTGGGCACACCAGAAAAATCGTGTTGCTGTAGTAAAGCTGAGCCATGCAGGGAAGCCTTCTCCAGAGCCTTCCAGAGCTCCCAGCTGCACTGCAAGATTGAACAGGCGCCCATTTGTGCGGGTACCTCCAAGTCGGATCCTAGGGAACTGCTCTGCCCTTTGCAGACGTATCACCAAAGGAAGCCTTGTCATTTCCGCAGATCCTGTATGATGTCTGGGTAGGTAAAATTGATTTGTCCCATGCTGCATTTGTAAAGCTCTGAGATTATTTGTAGTATAGGCCAGTGCTGGACAAAGATTTTTCTTTGCTTGTTTGCTTGTATTGGAGAACCAATGTGGCATAATGGTTAGAGTATTGGCAGATATGGGACTTGTCCACAGTCAGCCATGAAGTTGTTGTTGTTGTTGTTGTTGTTGTTGTT